CCCCAAAACCCCAAAACCCCAAAACCCCAAATGCTATTTAAAATGAAGGATAATTCTGATGTAATATTTAAACTGATAAGAAAATGAATAAAGTAAGTAAATCCTAGAGATAAGCTCTTACTAATCTTTTCAATTAGGAAGCTATCGTAGTCATCATAGATGTTAGTTCAACGATGAATAAATTATTCGGAGGAGATAATACTAAATAGACAAGATTTTAAGTTGCTAAGGAATCAGTAAAAATGCTTATTGAGTCAAAGGTATCAGAATATTTTCCCTCCATTTTAATAATCTTAATTTTAGTTACTTTATGCAACTTCTCATGAGATTGGCATCGTCTTAATTGGAACTCAGAAATCATCAAACTTTCTCAATGATCAATATGAGGACTAATACAAGCACGTGACCACTTTTAGATAAATAGATAAGCTGGATCTTGAATCCTTCAGACATTTAGAGAATATAACATGCGAAAAAGCACCAATCAAGGACAATGGAGGAGATCTGTTGGATGGTTTAATAGTTGGCATGGATATGATGGTGAGACATTGTGGAGAAAAAAAGTACAAAAAGAGAGTTTTCTTAATAACCGATGGTGAAAGAGAGACTAAATACGATCCTAGAGAGTTAAAGCAAATAATTACCACTTTAAATGAAAGAGATACAAGACTCAACATTATCACTCTTGATTTTTGCAATGAATTAGCTGAAGATGATGAAGATGATGATGAAGAAGAAAGCAAAAAGGATAGTAAGAAAAAGGAAAGTGCTGCTGATGAGACCGAATCTCAGAATAAAAATAAGGAATTCCTAATGGAGTTAACAGACAAAGTAAAGGGCGCAATTTTCCCAGCTAAAGTAGCAATGGAAATTTATAAGCAGTTCAAGAAACGTGAGGTTATGGCAAGAGTCAAATACAGAGGAAATTTAGACCTAGCAAAGGATTTAAAACTAAATGTTTCAATATACTCTAGGACCAGGGAAGAAGTCTTTCCTTCACTAAAGAAGCATTCAACTATTGCAAATGAAAGCACTTCAGCAAAGGAAAGTTTAGTCAAACTAGAAAGATAATTCGCCGAAGTTGATGACCCAGATCAGTAACCAGTCGATACAGACTAATAAATTAAAGCCTATAACTATGGAAAATAGTTAGTCCCAGTTTCAAAAGAAAATGAGCATATCCTAAAATACAAACCACCTAAGTAAGATGATGAGCATGATCCAGCTAATGATATGGATGTTAAAGTTTAAAGTAATGACTATGAGAAAGAGTTTAAATTACTAGGTTTTACAGATCAATCAAAAGTACCTCGCCATCATTTCATTGCAGGAGTCGATGTAATATTGCCTGTTAAAGGTTCTAAGAATGAGAGAGCATTTGCAGCACTGGTGTTTGCAATGATTGAAACTCATAGAGTGCTGATTGCGAGAATAGTGGAAAGAAAAAATGTAGATCCTAAACTTGTTGTTCTCTATCCTCATATCAGCAAAAAGAAGCCACTCCTTTACATGGCTTAAATTCCGACTAATGAGGAAATTAGAGATTATCAATTCCCTTCATTAATTCCAGCCACAAAACCTTAGAAGACAGCTGCAAAATAGTTGATCAAAGCTTTGGACTTGGTTGATTAAGAGGCTGAAGAGGAAAAGTTAAAGCCAGAGATTACTTTCAATCCTGCCTTACAGTATTTTTCGCAAGTTGTTGTGCATAGAATTACAGAGCCAGCTTAACAAGAATTACCTTAGTTAAACCAGCAAATAGCAGAATATGTAAAGCCAGATAAGAAGCTATTCCAGCAAGCTGAAGATGAGATCAGTGCATTTGAAGAAGCATTTGAACTTAAATACAATAATGAGGATGAAAACAAAAAGAAGAAGAGAGTTTATTGGAGAGACATTATAAGAAAGGAGGAGGAAAAAGTTGCTAATGAAGAGTAGAAGCTAGAGGAAGAAGAACAGATTGCAAGATAGAAGATTGGTGATAAGGATATGGATGATAAGGAAGACAAGATAAAGGAGATTTCATCAATGAATCCGATTGAGGACTTTAAGAATATGGTAAATGATCGTAAAGTTGATAGAGTCAGTGATGCTATTGATCAAATGCAAAAACTAATTATTAGATTCGTTACTAACTCACTTGCTGGTGATTTGTATTCAAGAGCTTTGGACTGCTTGATTGCTTTGAGAGAGTCTTGTATCAACGAAGATGAGGGGTAGAAATTTAATCAGTTCATGGAAAAATTAAAACAATTGTTCTCCAAGGGAACTAACAAAGAATTCTTCTAAAGTATAATTAAACACAAAATAAGTTTGATTACCAAGGATGAGTCATCAATAAGTTCAGTTATCACTGCTGATGAAGCTAAGAGAGTATTTATTCTTCATTCAAATAATTTTCATTATAGTTTTTGGAAATAGATAAAGATGATAGTGGGTAGATGGCTTAGCAAAAGAAAATAAAACAGGAAGATGAATTCATGGATGAAATTGAATGAAAGAAATTTGAACCTCAAAAATTGGGGTTTGATTAAGATTAAAACAATTTAAACTAATTTTAATCTTAACTTCATAACTAAATGTTAAGCAAACAACTAGCAAAATGTTTATCATTATACATCATAAATTTTCTCTTTTAAGGGGTTTGATGCTTAGTCTATTTCTTAATTGTGTCTATGCATTTTATAAAAATGGGACTTAAAACTTACTATATCTGTTTCAAAATGCTATTCGAAGTAAATGTTCATAAAGCATTAATTGGTTTGAGGCAGCTTTAATATATGCGGCAAATAGATAGTATTGAATTATTTTAACTCATTAAAATTTCTCTCTTTTAAAAGTAGATTTAGAGGACCGAATATGACAGATAAAGCAGTTGAAGGTAAGCCTAAATGTATCATCTCATACAGCTTAACTGCCAATTCTTCAGAGACTGTAACCTCATAATTTAGAAGAACATGGAGAGTGTCATGAACCTATATGCTTATTGTGAAGTGTTATAAAATACCTCTCTATATCTCTGAATAATATAGGCTAATTCCAAATCAGGAACATATTTCGCAACCGGTCTCTCGTCAGATTAGAAATCTTTTTCCTTCATCCACTTCGCAAACTAATAGCCAAACGTATTATGAGGTAAACTTAAAAGTTTCGCTTTGTTCCAAGTCTGATTATTCACTCTAGGCTTTTCTTAAAGAATTAACGATCCCTCTGGATCCATACTAAAGTTTATAAAATTTTTTTAATTTACATCATTTTTCTGCGAATATCTCTAAGAACATGAACAGAGGAGAGATCGCCAACAGCAGATACGTAATCAGCCTTAGTAGGATCATTAACTGATCCAAGAGAATACTTTAGCAATAGCCTTATTCTTTCAAAGCCATTACTAACTGAGTTATAATTCAGCAATATATCTCTGAGCGAAGAGTCTCTATTTGTGTTAGAAAAATTTCTTTTAGAAATTATGGTTCTCATTAAAAATTAATTTATTAATTTGAATTCCTTATTCGATTAAGTTATTGTTGTTGTATCAAGGGGTTTTGGGGTTTTGGGGTTTTGGGG